TGGAGCACCCCATGACAACATTTTTCAAGCAGTGCAGCCTCCTTGATGTGCCTGGAACAATATTGGGCTAGGGCTTTGGCAAATCCAGGTGCATCCCTCCTGAGCAATACTGAGTATGGCAAGTTCTCCATTCGAGACACCAGAAACCTCATGAAGTCATTCCAGGTTCCAAAGGAGCACCACTACCACCAGGCATCGGTTGACGTGGCTATGAAAGCAATCTATTGACACCATTCTGATGACTGGTAGGGCTGTCAGAAGTAAGTGTGGACCATCGATACAGAACTCCCGCTATCTAGGAATGCGGTCAACTGATGTCCTCCCAGCACATCCCACCTGAGGAGGTTTGCATCATCTCCCAACCAGCATCACATTCCATAAGGGAACAGTCTCACTTCAGGTGCCCCCACTGTCCACATATGATGTATGGCCCAGGTTCTCCGTGAGAGGTACCAGACTCGGGCCTGGGGTCTTGCGAAGGTCTGCCCAACATGCTGTTCTGTCCACTGGGTGCTGTGGCCAGTGGTCTCAATATTGGTATCTACGTTCCTGGGAGTGATCGGGAGGCAGGGATGGGGACTCGCCCCCCTTCCCCAGGGAGGCTCTGGCCAGGGCCTGGGCTCACGCCCCTTGGCCACCTGAAAGTTTTTCCACAGTTCTTGGGCCTCAGCTAGTCTTGATGGCTTCCAACATGCCACCCAATGGTGGGTCCCGGTGGGTAGTATTTGGAGCATCTGCTCTATCAGAACCCGTTCAACTATCCAGTGCCCATTATCTGTCGTTGGCTGCCACCACAGCATTGTTGAATCCTTCAGGGCTGCAATGATTGCTCGGGGCCTCTCAGTAGGAGGGAAAGTCATGTTCTGGAACTTCTGTCTGTGGATTCTGGGGTTATCTCATACCTGTCAAGCATAGCCACCTTGTAATTGTCTCCCTCAGTCTTTTCCAGCAACTCCTGATGGACGGACCACCCGGGCCTCCGGTGTCCCTACTGGTGGCCAGTGTCTGCTGCAGGTCCCTCATCAGTACAACGTGGGACGCCTGCTGTTGCTGGGTTAGGTCTTTCAGCAACTGCACCTGATGCTCTGCCATCTACTGCCCAAACTGAGTGAAATCCATAGTGCTGGGTTGGCTGCTGTCCTCTAGGGCTTTGCTCCACATTTCTGCTTCTGTGGTCTCCTCTTTGGCTGGTGGCTGAAACATGGGGGGTTTCAACACCAGTCTGCTGCTCTTCCAGCTAGCTGGGGTGGGTAGGTGGGAGAGTGGGTAGCCCATGGGCGGGGCTATGCCCACATTCTCCACCAAAATGTCATGCTCCACCTCCACACCTGGGACCTTCCCACTGGTCGCTGTCACTGGTCATCAGAATACTCTGCCTCAGGGCGGGACTTCCGGTTTGACGGCGCTGCGACCGGTCAAGTCTTGGATCGTCTCCAAGCCGACCGGCTCCCCCTCGTCTATTTTGGGGCTCTTCGCTCAGCGGACGAGCCCTGCTTTCTCTCCTGGAGGGAGAGGAAGTCGCAGGGGGCTTACTGGCCCCCCCACGCTGACAGCAAATCGCGGGGGGTGAAGCCGGCTGCCCCGAAGCAGAGACGAGGATCGGGATGAACACGGCTTCCGTGCTCAATTAGCAGCGACCAGCCGTTTTAAAGTTTTGTCAATGTTAAGAAAATGGTACCGTATTTTTTCTCTCCTTTTTTTGGCGCATATCTTTGCAAGAAACGAAGACTGTGAGGCAAATACCCCCTTAAATAAACCTCAACTAATTGGTGAAGGCGGCTATGGAAAGTCTGAGGAGAGCTGGAAGAATCGAAGAAACGGGGTAAGAACAAATGTATAACGGACTATAAAAATTAAGTAAGAAAGTGTGGATAACTGTGAAAAGGAAAGGAACTGTGGAAAGGAGTCTAAGGGTAGTGATGTTAAAGGCTTTATGGACTATTTGTAAACCTGTTTAAAGTGGAGTGAGAAAATGGCAGCAGCAAAAACAGAGGAGGAGATAGAACCTGAGACAATCCTACAATTAAAAGACTTTATTATGGAACAGTTTAAATTATTTCTGGAAGAATTTTTTAAGCAAGCGATGGCGACAGCGGTAGCAACAGCATTTAAAGATGTATTTGGAGGACAACAGGCTCCTCAGGAGGAGGTGGAAAATAAGAAGGAAGTGGAACAACTTGCAGCTGTGTTAAAACAACAGGAGTTGGACCAGGAGAGGGAGTCCTCGATTAATCAAGCTTTGCACATAAAAGATACACCGCAGGATTTTGAACACTTTTCAAGGAGTCAGTTAAAGAAAGGGAAACCTCTAAGACTTAAAATACAACAAAAAATACGACATATACTAAAGGGACAAGAGAAGAGGAAGAGAGAGTTAAGAAGAGTAGGAAGGAACCTTAAACGTTATGTAAGACCAAAGAAGTTTGCAGAGAAGGGGAGAGGTCAATGTCAGGACTTAAAGTTAAATGAATGCAAAAAGCTCAGGAATTTAAAAGAAATTCAGAAGGAACAATGGAGAAAAGGACACATTTTAAAGCATCAGGGGAAGGAAAAGGAAGAATGTAAAAAATCTAAAAAGAAACCTAAACGTAACAAAAGAATGAAGATGTATCTGTGGGAAAGGACCTGGCAAAGTTTGGTCTTAAGGCTACTGGAATTTAAAACTTTTCGGCACCTAAAAGAAGTAGAAGGAGAAGAAGAAGAAATAGAGAAGGGAAGGGGAGCTAAGAAACAAGGGATTTATTTGCCTAGGGATATCTTTCATGTTGTATCAGGCTTTGGGATGTAAAGAAGAATGGAAAGACTGATTACTAGTATGGTAGCTGACTGTAGTATTAAAATTAATTAGGACTGCAGAGCTAATAAATTGCTGAAGTGGAACTGTTTGCATATAGGGGCACTGTTTGCATATAGGATAAAGTTTAGGTTTGGAATGGAGATGACAACTGGAATTGAGCAAATGTGCATATAGGATAAAGTTCAGGTTTGGAATGGGGAGGATAATAACTGAAACTGATTAAATGTAATTTTCACAGAATAAGAGGAAGGGAAAAATAAAATAAAACAGTCTTGTTAGTGTTGTAATAACTAAATGGATTTAGGTAGGTGTATTTATATGTAAGTACTATTATTATTTCGTTATGTACCATAAAGATACTCTATTATTAAGGAAGTAATGTGGCTGGAATAGGGCATATTGTGTTGATTTATGAAGGAATTTTTTTTTTTGGGTTTGGTAATTATAAGTTGATGATCAGGAAAGCAAAGGTGAAACTATAAACAGCTGTAAGAAATAAATGGGCAAACACAGAAGAAAAGGAGGAATTTCTATGCAGTTAATAGAAATTAAGATGATGAGTGATATAGAAAATAAGTACTGGAGATAGGGAAAACTATCTGTCAAATTTTTAGGCTGTAGGCCACGTGTAAGGGAAACTGAGATATGGTATAGGAGTAAAAACTATAAGAAGCGCTATTAGAAAAATTTGTAGTGGAGAATTATAAATTAAAAGAATGGTATTGGTTATTGTACAATCTTGTAAAGGTACCAAAATTATCTATAGTTATGTATTATGTATTTGTGTGTGTGTGTTTGTTGATATATGTGGAAAATAATAGATTATTTAAAAAAAAAAAAAAAGAATACTCTGCCTCAGGGCGGAGCCAGCTTCGCATCCTTGGAGAGTGCTGGCCCAGTGCTCCCGCTAGCCCTTCATGGCCTCTAGCATGCCCCGTCGGTCCAGCCTGCTGCTCTCCTGCTTTGGAGCCTGGCCTGGGCCCGGCAAGTCTCTGCTGCTGCCACCTTCTCCTGCTGCTGCCAAGCTGAGCTCTGCAGCACTGGAGATGCTGGTAGAGACAGGCCTGTTGATTCTCCTTCCCAGTTCCCGTTGTGGGGTCATGTGGCAAGAGTAAGTTGGGGCTTTGGGGTGCCAGGGTGTATGGGGTTGTGGGCGAATACTGTGAGGGCTGTGGGGGTTGCCAGCTTGGACACATGTCTGTGCCTGGACACATGGCTACTCTGGTGTAGGTTAAACCATAAACATACTTTGTATAGGAGTACAGACTTAGAAATATTTAGTTAATATAAGTGATTACTCCAGATTACTGGGATTGTACTCAAAGCAATACGTATTTACATTAGTGGAGTTAGACCACATGATGATGGGTCTCACTAGATGGGACCATATCTGGCCTGCACTGAAAGCGCTGCACTGGCTGCCAATGGCATACCGGATTCGCTTCAAAGTGCTGGTTTTGACCTTTAAAGCCCTATATGGTCAGGGCCCGGCTTACCTTAGGGAACGCCTCTCCTCGCATGTTCCCCCAAGGGCACTACGGTCGGGGAATCAAAATCTCCTGGACATTCCAGGCCCCAGAAACATCACATTTGCGGTTACCAGGGCTAGGGCGTTCTCGGTGGCAGCTCCTACCTGGTGGAATGAGCTCCCAGAAGAGATCCGGGCCCTGTGGGACTTGGTGCAGTTCCGCAGGGCCTGTAAAATGGAGCTCTTCCACCAGGCTTTCGAGTAGGAGCCGCCGCCGCCAACATCATTATGCCATCATCATTATGTCATCATTGTTACCAGCATTCTATCTACGCCCCCCTCATTAGTCCCACAAATTGACCAGAGCGGGGACTATTGGGGGTGCGAGACGTGCCTGGCAGAGATCAACGCTATGTGGATGTATATTGTTGCTACTATATTTATTGTTATTACTGTTGTTTGTTGCTAATAATTTTAGAATCCCATCTTGAACTTTTTTAGTTAATTAATTCTGGAGCACCGTAAAGTAAATTTTAGTGAATTGTATTTATTTATTGTATTTTATACTATTCTGTACTGTTTTAATGTTTTAACTTGGGCATTCGTGCCCCTTGTGAGCCGCCCTGAGCCTTCGGGGAGGGCGGGGTATAAATTTAAAGATAAATAAAATAAATAAATAAAAATGAACAACAGATAGCATTTGGGAAATGGTGGACTGCAGTTTTCCTCATGTACCTGTCTAAATACCCCACAGTTTTAAAAGACGGAGTGGTATCCACATATCTGTTGCTGCTTTCTTTTGTCCAGTAAGAATCAGAAGTGTTGTCCCATTTAGAAAAAGGGCTGCTTCTCTGTTCTTCTGAGTCAAAATACCTGAGTGAAGGAAAAAAGAAATCATTTCCTTAATAAACGCTCAGCAGCTCAGAATGTCTGTAGGAGATGGTAAAAAAATTGAGATTAAGTAATGGAGTTTTCAAATTCAATCTTGTATTGTTCCTATGGGCCAATTTACACTTCTATTACTTTATTTATTTATTCATTCATTTAATTTATATCCCGTCCTCCTTTCTGGCTGAAACTCAAAATTTAAAGACACATAGTATGAGACACACAGTAAACAGTGCAATAAAACTGGATTACAAATTAGAAAACAATGCAATAAGATCAGTATAAAACATGGCATATTATAAGCAATGCCATTAACTAACAAGTAAAGGTAAAGGTTTCTCTTGCTTGAGAGCTAGTTGAATCTGACTCTAGGGGGCGGTGCTCATCTCTGTTTCCAAGCTGAAGAGCCAGCGCTGCCCAAAGATATTTCTGTGGTCATGTGGCCAGCATGACTAAACACCAAGACGCACAGAACGCTGTTATCTTCCCACCAAAGCAGTACCTATTTATCTACTTGCAATTTCTTGTTTTCAAACTGCTAGGTTGGCAGGAGCTGGGGCCAGAGACGGGAGCTCACTCCGTCATGTGGCACTAGGGTCTTGAACTGTCGAGCTACAGACCTCCCGATCTGCAGTTCAGCGTCTTAACCTCTGAGCCACCGCGGCCCCTAACTAACAAGTACAATCGTACAAAACACAGAGTTATATAAAAATTCAAAACTATAAAAATTATAAAATAAAAATGTATAAAATTATAAAATAAAATACAGAACCAACCCCCAACCTGAACGAGCTTATAGTCTCCCAAAATATACTAGCTAACAGATTAATAACAAATCTAAAATTATAAACCACTAAGAATAAGGCCCATTGTGGGAATAAATACAATGAGCTCTAGAAAGAGGCTCTGGGCAAGTACCCTGGGCTTGGCCAGGGGGGCTGGGGAGGGAAGGAAAAGAGAGAGGGAGTCAAGGTATGTTTAGAAGGTGGCAGTTGGGAAGGGAATGGGAGAAAGGGGAAAGGGGGGGTAGGTTATAAGAGAAGGGGGGTAGATTGACAGAGAAGGAATGGGGGACAAAAGATATGGGTGTAGATTGACAGATAAGGAAAAGGGGAGAGATTGAGAAAGAGGAACAAGGAAGGGAGCAATTCCTTTTATCTCAATTTCCTTCCCTCTTCCTCTCAACTACCCCCACACCCTTTGGTGTGGAGGGAAGGAAAAGAGAGAGGGAGTCAAGGTATGTTTAGAAGGTGGCAGTTGGGAAGGGAATGGGAGAAAGGGGAAAGGCGGGGTAGGTTATAAGAGAAGGGGGGTAGATTGACAGAGAAGGAATGGGGGACAAAAGATATGGGTGTAGATTGACAGATAAGGAAAAGGGGAGAGAGGGAAGATAACAAGGAACAAGGAAGGGAGCAATTCCTGTTATCTCAATTTCCTTCCCTCTTCCTCTCAACTACCCCCACACCCTTTGGCTTTTACTCCCCTTCAACCTTGCTGACTCCCACCCCACCCCACCCTTGCTGTCCTCCCCCCACCCCCAAGCCCTTTGTTTTCACTCCCCCCACCCTTGCTGCCTCCACAACACCCGCCTCAGCCATCATCGACTGAGTGGGGAGAAGACAACTTTGGTAGTCGCAGGTGAGCCCTGAGCGCAGCCAAAGCCAGAAGCCAGCAGTCTGTCCAGAGGCCCCCACGCTTGGCAGGGCTGTAGCCAGTGTGGGAGGGAGCAGCACAGGCAGCGCCCCCTATCGATTTTGCAATGCCCCTAACAATTTCGCTGTGCCCCCACTACAATCTCCCCCTTTAATCACAAATTTTGGCAGCTATCTCCTCACCCAAAGCTCCCCCTTCAAATAAACTAAGCATGTATAAAACAGGCAGTTTCCCCCCCTTCAAAGTGTGCCTCGTGTCTCCTCCTCCTCACTCGCCAGCCCACAGGAGGCTGAGGACAGTAGAAAAACAAAACAAACTTACCCTCCTTTCTTAGGTGCCTGCCCGAGAGGCCACTGAGTTAGTGTTGTAGTGCATCTCTCCCCCTTCCTTACTCCCAAGTAAACATGCTGTGCACACACACAATTATTAGGGCTAAAGTTGGGGCCAGCTCACCTATTTCCATTTTGTAGGCATTGCAAAAAGGCTTGCAAAGGGGCAAGGGGTGGATTTCTGCAAAAGCGTGAGTTAACGAGTGGTGAAATTAAACTATGATATTGTATGGTTAGCATTCAGAAAAGCCATTCTGTATGCATAAAGGCCTCCATAGAAGCATGGGATGGGATGGAAGAAACTTATAAGGGGCTGACACCAAAAGAATGGCTGAAAGGGCCCCATGGCACATTACCGTAGACAACCCTATGATATTTATTGTGAAAGCGTATGACTCCAGTGTCAGTTCAAGTATTTCACTGGGTTTAGCCTGGAGTAACTGCATAGGATTGTTTTTCTATTAAAATTGGTGGCTTTAAAAATAAATAATTTATTTAAACCTGCAAGGATATGGAACTAACATTTGATTCACCCATTCATTTCACAGGGAGAGTAAGATATATAAAACAATTGTATTCTGATGGTGACAAGAAGCAAAAAGTGCACACACACTTGTTGTTGTTTTTAAAACCCAGCTTCTTAGCAAATGAAGCAAGTTTCATTGGCACAACTTGTGTCCTACCTACACATGTGACTTCTTCACAGGTATCCCTTAGCTGAGTGAATTGGAATATACAGTCAATGATAATCTAAATCTAGTCTATGAAATACAGTGCAGAATTTAACCCAAATAAAGCCTGATAAACCAGCTGTGACCAAGTGGGACTACAGTATTTCTGAAGTTAAGTTGGTGTGAACCTCATCACTCCCTTAAAATAACTGGAGACTCTCTATAATATTGTATATTATTTTATACTATACTATATTATACTCCACTAGACTATAATTGGATTATATATTGTTTTGTATTCAAAAAGCTGCTCATGCAACAGAGAGTGCCTACCATTCATGAACAATGCCTCTGATTGCTGCTGATTACTCTTCCCAGGTGCAGCTCATCATGCAATGTCAGAAGGTACTGGTATCCTCAGGGGTAAAATACTCCATGGGTCTCACACAAGTCACAGACACAGACGCCCAACCCAACTCTCAGTCACATGCTCATGTGGGAACTAACCTTTAAAAACCAAACCATCCCTGCATGTTACTCCCAACACCGCAACTTGTGCTGTTTTTGACAAAGTAAATAGCCACAAAACAAACAGCCTCCCCCCTAGCCATTTCTGCTGGCACAGCAGGGAACCCTGAAGCCTCTAGTTCCCCTTCACAGCATTTGGAGCCGCACTCAGTGACAGAGTTTTTAAAGGTTAGTCCTTTTAAAGGTTAGTCCTCCTGAGAGCCAGTTTGGTGTAGTGTTTAAGTGTGCAGACTCTAATCTGGGAGAACCAGGTTTGATTCCTCACTCCTCCACTTGCACCTGCTAGTTCTGATAAGAGCTGTCCTTGAAAAACAGCAGTTTCTGTCAGAGCTCTCTCAGCCCCACCTACCTCACAGGGTGTCTGTTGTGGGGAGGGGAAGGGAAAGGAGTTTGTAAGCCACTCTGAGACTCCTTTGGGTAGTGAAGGGCGGGGTATAAATCCAATCTCTTCTTCTTCATGTGAACATGTGACTGAGTTGAGTTGGCACCAGTCTCTCATATATATGTATGTATATGTATGTATGTCTGTATATATATGTATTCTGGCCCTTAGAAACAGCTTTTTAGGGAGCAGACAGGATCAGAATGGGATGGAGGCTGGGAAAGTCCCCCTGTGAGAGTGGACTCTGCCTGCAGTTCCTTGAGTCCAAGGCACTGTCTTCAGAATTTGCAGAACAGTTATCAATGTGGATTTCTCACTGATGAGCAACATAATAAATTCAATCTAAGTATTCTGAGACAGCCTGGAAAAACAAGACTTCTTCCTCTAGAGCCATATTTCCCCACCCCCCCACCCCCAATCTCCAGCACAGATCGGAATGATTACTCTCATTTTTTTCCTCAATCAATACAGCATATATGATAAAAACCCTGAATAAGAACTATACATGTTACAACACTGTGTAAATTTTAATCTAGAGCAACCAATCTCATTCATAAGTAAATAAAAAGTTACCTTGAACGGGGAGAAGAAAAATAAGAGTCCTCATCATTGTATTTTTTCCTTGGCTTTGAAACTGTAGGTGTTTCTTGTTCTATGATTTGCATATCTGAGATTACTGAATGGGATATGCCACTGTATTAAAAACATTGTAAATTATCTTAGACGGTGACCACAAAAGGAGCCAGGTGAAAGGCAAATGTAAGTACATCAAAAGCTCAGGAGAGATCTAAACTGCTTTAAACATTAAGGTCCAAAGTAAAAATGAAGTTTCATACTATAAATCACACTTCAGATTTCATTAGATCATGCCCCATGATTTTCAGAAAGCCCATGATGCTCTAGAGTGGGGGTGGACTGAACACCGCTTTGCAAGCAATGGGCACTTAAAAGTGGCTCTGACCATTCTGCCTGCCGGCCTTCTGCTGCTGTTGCCACAGCTGCTTTCTCATCCTTCCATGCTGCAAGAAACGATGGCAGCAGCCCCTCTCCTTCTGTTTCACACAAAGGAGGAGGCAACAACACACACACACCTTTGTTCTGGATGGGAAAGCGGGATGGCAGCAGCACCCTTTCCCAACTGTCTTCCCTTCTCCCCATAAAATACTTGACGCTAAATAAAGCCCAGTAAAATATATCACCACAGAAAGGATCTCATTGAAAGCAACCCTCGCAGCCTCTTTAGGATTCAAGCCACACAAACCCAAGGGATAACTCGCCCAAAGATGGCTGATAAGCTGTGTTCACAAAGTCAGGATCCATTAAGTACTCTTAAAGGCTTGGGCATGCCCAGTAGGATTTGACTCTCTGTCCTGTAACTGCAACTCCCCCAGTTAAAAATTCATTCAGTCAAATTAAAGTGTGGCTTGTTATGCAGTATTAAAGGGTGGGGTGATGCCTGATCTGGTGCTATGCAGAAGCAAAGTATTTCTCTACTCTTCATGCTCATGCAATGGAGCTGCATAGCGATTTTTTGTAAAGTTATTTATAGTCAGCGTTTTTCACTGAGATATGAAGCAGATTACACAGTGTAAATCAAACAATCCAAAGGAAAATAATTTTAATATCCATCCAGGCATTGTGGATATCTATCCAAATGACTGGGAGGCATCAAATTGAGGGATGCCTCTACATGACACTGCATCAACCATTAAGGGAAGTACTTACACTGAGGAGTGACAAGTATCAGATTTTCTGTAGGAATTCAAAACAAGGGAATCATATTCTTTTGGTATTCTCTGCTATGATGTTAAACTGGACCAACCATTGTCCTTAGTGTTTATAATACACAGCTAAAGGATTACACGCACCTTCGATTGCTACTAAATCCCATGCCAAGTCTTTCTGCTTCTGTTTTCTTTTTACCAGTCATATTCAATTTATCTTCTTTCATCTGAATTTCAAGATCTTTGTAGGCCAGTCGTAAAGACGACACACTACAAAACAAAGCAAATGTCATTTATAGATGAGATGAGGAGAGATTAGATAGACATAGGTATATAGGAAAACCACAAAGCTTTCCTCATCAGCCCAGCAATGGCAGTGAGCAGTTAGAGTGGGTCATCTAATGTTTGTGATATTTTTCAAATGAATTATGCTGGGATTGCATGCAGCCTCCATGTGACTTTTGTCATGTGGCAAAAGCAGATGACTGAATCAATCTCATCTTTGATGTCCTTGCTTTGGAAGGGCTTAAGTAAACATATATAGACAGTCAAGTGTGCCATAAGGAGAAGAGTACCCAAGATAATAGGAAGGGTTTCCCCAAAGGATTGCTAGAGTTGTAGAGGGGCATCAAGGGAAGAAAAGATGTATGGCAATACCACCAGATCAAGAATAGTGAAAAATCAATGTACAGACTAGAGGCATGATGGGAAAGGACCTGGATGTGGTATAAAGAAGGGAGGAGTCTTTGGACCTGAGTCTGTTTAGCCAACAGGAAGTTAGAGCAGTGGGCTTTTACTGAAGCTTCTTCATGGCATCTAAAGGGCAAAAAAATAGCTACAGTCTATCAGACAGTGAACATTAATGTTACTAGCCCATTAACACTACTTTACATGTCAGATGGCCAACACACACACATTTGAGGAGGGTAAAAATAATCCACTCACAAATCTAAGGCATGTTTTTACTTAAAACCATGATTACCCTTCCCGATACACAAGACATGTTCCCAGAGCATAATTCAAGGGCACTGGGTCATCTCCAAAGAGGTACCCAAATAAGTCCTCCCAGTCTTCCAGGCTCAGTGGCTGATGAAGAGACCAGCAGAACTCTCCTGTCATGAGCTGCAAGAACTTGAAGCAGACCTAAAATTTTCATAGCTCCCTTATAGAGAGATGGAACAGAAACCATTTGGGACAGATGCATGAGAAACACTAAAACAATCAAAGTCATCTCTGGGTACTTCTTTGTAATGACCAGAACATCTTCAGCCTGACATGAATTATTGATACAAGAAAATGAAAAATACACTTCAATAACACATCGCAAATACATTAGTCTAGTGCAATGTTTGGATAACAGAAGTACACAAAAATACATCAACACCGTGCAGAGTTGAAAAATCATGCATTAATCCAATAACATTATTCTACTGCTATTTTCTTTTTATCATTATTTTATTTTTTATCATTTACACTTAATTATGTTCACTACATCTTACAGTGGTACACACAACTACGAAATGTATGATGACTGACAACAACAAAAAATGATCCACCGGTAAAGTATCTTTGAAGATCTGATACTTTAAACCTCACCAGGTAATAAAAGCTAAAAAGAAGCTGATGGAAGCTGGAGTGATTGTAACAGTAAAACAAATGAATATGTATCAGTAAGAATTATTTCATTTAAAGGTTTTTGTAGTACAAATTCCCTTCTTGAAGCCGTGCAAGAAGTTTCACTTCGTCAACGTGCATGTTGATTTCTCAATCACAGAACAAACCACACTTACTTTTTATCTCTCTCTGTTAGCATTAATAAAATCAAGAAAGTCAGAACAGTATGTTTCTGGTAGGCAAGGTGCAATGTTTTGTAAATTGCCCTGAAGATCAAGCAGACTAGAAGTATAATAAACATAATTTGGAAAGGGATACAGTGAAGTTATCAGCAATAAACTCCTAAGGTAATAGCATAGGTTTTTTAAATTACAGCAGAAATTAATCATGATGTACTGATGTTACCTGATTGGTGCATGTACTGATTTTACCTCAGACATTTCAACCACTTATTTCACCTGACCTTTCCCATCTACGTTAAACAAAATATTTTGTTATTTTTTAATTTCAAAACGCCTCTAGTGCCATTTAAGTTAAATCAAGAAACTGGTAGTCTCCATGGGGATGTCACTGATCCTTCCCTCAGGTTCCTGGACTGAGCTAACAGCCATAATATCGTACTGTGACAGGGTGGGACAGCCAGAGTCCTTCAGCAAAGAAGAAAACACATTACTAGGGTGGCTCAGTCAGTAAAGGGAAAGAAAAACAGAGGGGAAATCTTGCCTCTGAGGGAGGGAAGTGGATGGGGCCACCACAGAAGCTGACGTAGCTACAGCCCTGATGGAATGACCGGTAACACCCTGTGGTGCTCAAGCACAGAATCTCGTACATCTTACAAATGCAGAGCTTAACCCAAAGAGCAAGAGTAGTTTTTGAAACCTTTACCCCCAGGTTTGCTGGATTATGTGATACAAATAAAGAGTCTGAAAGTCGAAAATGCAATGTTCTGTTTATATATGTGTACAGGGCCCTGTGTGCATCCAGCTTTTGCCAGACCCTTTCTCTTGGGTGAGATGATTTTGGGCAAAAGGAAGGAAGAACCAACTGTTGGCTTAAATGGTATGGCAAATTTACTTTTGATACAAAGGAAGGATCCTTGTGGAAAATATATAGCTCATGTCTAACTGACAAGGCTCCTAGTTCTGAAATTCTCCTGGCTGATGTAAAGCTAGGAAGGTTACTTTCCATGAAAGGAATTTCAACTCTGCAGTCTTTAGAGTTTCAAACGGCATCTTAGTCAAGGCCTGCAAAACTTTAGACAAGCTCCAGGTAGGAAACGTATGCCTAATTAGAGGTGCTAACTGCATGGTTCCTTTTAAGAACCTCCTAACAGGGCCGTGGTGGCTCAGAAGTTAAGATGCTGAGCTGCAGACAGGAAGGTCTGCAGTTTGGCAGTTTGAGAACCCAAGTGCTGCGTGACGGAGTGTGCTCCTGTCCCTGGTCCCAACTCCTGCCAACCTAGCAGTTCAAAAGCAAGAAATTGCAAGTAGATAAATAGGTACCGTTTCGGTGGGAAGGTAACAGTGTTCCATGCACCTCGGCATTTAGTCATGCTGGCCACATGACCACAGAAACATCTTCAGACAGGACTGGCTCTTCGGCTTGGAAATAGAGATTAGCACTGCCCCCTAGAGTCAAATTTGACTCGCTTTAGAGCAAAGGAAACATTTACCTTTAACAGTTATGTAGCCCCCTATTTCCCAGAACAGCAGTGAGAGCTGCTGCCTACCTCTTTAGTGTATCTGGCCTCAACCCTTGTTTCCATCTGTCATGCAGAAAAAGGACAACGTCCTCACAGGATGGCTTTAAAGGGTCTATATTTATCTTAGTGGCCCATTTTCTGAAGGAAGACCATGTATAGTTATATATACACCTGGGTTGCTGGATTTCTCACCTGCACCATGATGTCCACTATCTCCTCCACTATCTCCTCCTCCCACTCAATCTCCAGGGCTGTTAGCTGAAGCCAAGCTGGGTCCGGGTGCAGGACAGGTCCCTGATACAGTAGGTCCAGCCTGACCAGTAGTCTCCATGGGGAGGTCACTGACATCTTTACTAGCTCTGAAAACCACGGGATTCTTGGCTAGAAGAATGCAATGAATATCACCTCCACCCCCTCTCTCTTTACTTTGTTTAGGACCCTGTGGATCAGAAGAGTCAGAGGGAATGCATACAATAGGCTACTTGTGTAGTAGAGTGTCCTTGCCCTCTGCTTGGGGTTTGAAAAACCTCAACAGGAATATAGGCACCTGATTGTTGTTTGATGAGGCTAATAAATCCATTATTGGAATTAATCATGACTTCCCAAAAAGTCTTGTGGTTCAGAATCCATTCTCCCAGATCTAGGTCCCTTCTGCTCAGTCAATCCACTTGAATGTTTGAAAGACCCTGAACGTGCTTGCTGCACCCTTAGACTTGGCAGATGCAGTTCCGCCCACTGAAAGAGTAGCTTTGCTTCATTGTAGAGAGGAGTTACCTTGGTGCTCCCTTGACAGTTAACGTGAGCTTTTGCTGTCATGTTGTCAGTGTGCGCTAACATTTTTTCTTCTTCTTGGAAGGCCACTAGAGCTAGCCTGATTGTTGTTAGCTCTAACCAGTTCAAGCTGTTTACTTATTCTGTAGGGTTCCACCTGCCCTGAGCTACCTGGCCCAGACACTGTGCTCCCCACCCTCTTCTGCTGGCATCTGTGGTTACTACCATGTGTGTGGGGGGATTATAGGTAACTCACCCCCTTGATCAGGTATCTTTGTAGGGACCACCATCTCAATGGTCTCCTTAAGGCAGAAGTCACTTTGATCTGTGTGTAATATCTCTTACTGATGTCCTTCTAGTGAGGTAGAAGCGTCCACTGTAAAGGCCTTGTGTAGAAGCGAGTACACGGCACAAGGTCTATAGCGGATATCAGCAGGCACAGTAATGCTAACAGATGCATAAGATCTGCAAACTTCTGTTTGTGTAGCTTCTTCATTATGTCCATAACTTTCACCTTCTTTTCCCCGGGGAGAAAAACTTTTGCCAGTCTTGTATTTACTCTGGCTCCCAAATGGACTAGGTCCCTGAAAGGGTTGAGGTAGCTCTTCTATAGATTTATCAGGAAGCCATGTGACTGAAGTATTTTGATCGCAACTCTGGAATCCCTGATCACTGATCATCTTTGGCTCTGATAAGGATATTTTCTAGGCAAGGGTAGACATGAATCTCCTGTTGTCTCAGGACAGCTATGGGTCCACTAGAACCTTGGTGAAGACTCTCAGAGATGACAGACCAAAAGGTAGGGCTTTGTATTGGAAGTGCTAACCCTGAAAGAAGAAACGCAGGAACTCTCTGGTAGACTGATAAATAGAGATGTGTAAATAAGCCTCCTTGAGGTCCAGTGATGCTAAATAGTCATTCTGGTGTATAATTAGCAGGACAGAGTGAAGAGATTCCATATGGAACTTGTGTTTTCTTACCCACAGATCCAGCTTTTTCAACTTGAGGACTGCTCTCCAGTTGCTCAATCTTTTGGAAACTACAAAAATTGTTGAGTAGACTCCCTGAAACCGCTGATGCGGAGGAACCAGTTAGACTGCCCCAGTCAACAGAAGGTGCTAGATCACTTCCAACATTAAGCCACATTTTTGTTTTGTCCTGGGAACTGGGGATGAGACGAATT